CCCGATCCAACGGCGGGCACTCCCGCTGAGCCAACAGCGCTGTGCTGCGGGAAGGAGCTGAGGATGGGCCCGGGGAAGGTGACCACCGAGGCCGGGGGCTGGATCACCACCGTGGAGTCGGGGCACTGCCGCACGCAGGGCTCATTGCAAGTGTCGGCCAGCGGGGCCGGGGCGGCCACCCCACAGGACGTGTTGCACAGGCTGGAGCAGGACATCTTTCAGGCAGGGAAGCACTCCTGGAAAACACAGCGGGGATGAGACAAGGCTGCCAGGAAGGGGCTGTATGCAGGGAGGCCGTGATAGATGCCCAAGAGGCTTCCAAGAGCTGGACTTACCGAGGTGATGAGGAGAGTCCAGCAGAGGAAGATGGATAGAGGCTGCAGAGCCCTCAGCTCTTTTATACACATCCCAGACCGCCCGGGGCAGCAGCCAAGGGGGCGGCCGTGGAATCCCCACCTAATCATGCAATCCATTGGTCAAGCCTCATGACACAGAGAGTGATGAGAGACAATTTTTCCCCTCTTGACTGGGCACATCGGTGTGCAAATGTGCCCTGGAGAAGGAGGAGGTGATGGGAGGGACAGTCCATGACACGCCGTCAGATGAAAGAGCAGGCACTGCTGGAGCTGACCACAAGTGCCTAATAAACCCGGATCTGTCCCTAATCCCCCCACTTTAGCTGAGTAGAAGAATCCTGAGCATCTTACAGAAGTGCTTTGCAACCCTGGGCGCAGGCATCACGCCTGTCCTTCCCTCTCTTTTACAGGCTGGTAAACAGAGGCACTGGGAGGTTGTGTAAAGGGAGAAGCCATCCCAGCTGCTCATCGTGACTCTTACGTGCCCACCATAACCCACTGCTAGCCCCTCCCAGGGGCTAGTGTCATCCCTAAGCCTCGGCCTTCTCTTGGACCCTTGCTGGGTGTTTGGGGCCCATGGGTGCCCCTGTTGAAAATACAAAGAGCAGGCTGCGTGACATTCCTGTGCCTGCAGAGAACGCGGTCACGTGCCGCCGTGCCCCGCTGTGGCTTCCAGGGTCGTCAGTCCTGGCACGGCCCTCACTGCCCGGCTAATTAACCGAGTCCCTCCGGACGGGGTTTGGGGAGGGCCATGCTGTGCCGTGTCCCACACTGCTCCGCTGAGGGTGGGGGCTGTTTCAGGGCACCCAGCGTGTGTTGGCACAGGTGATACCAGGCTGTGAGACTACCGAGGCTGGCAAGTGAAGGCGGTTGGGCTGTGGGTTGAGGAAAACCTCAGGCTGCAACAGCTTCCATGCCTCTGCACAGCCCTGCTGCAGGACCCGTTGCAGGAAAAGCTGACCTGATGTTGCAGGGTGGTGCCTGGCGTCGTCTAAACCACCAACAGATTCCTCACAGCACGGGACCTGGCAAGGGTCCAGAGAAGGCCAAGGCTTAGGGATGCCTCTAGGCCCTGTGAAAGGCCAGAACCAGGAGACGGTGGGCATGTAAGAACCACAACGAGCATCTGGGATGGCTTCTCACCTTGAGCAATCTCCAATGACTCTGTTTTACAAGCCTGTAAAACAGAAGTAATGAGAGTCGTGATGGATGCGCCCAGGGTTGCAAGACACTTCTGCAAAATGCTCAGGATTGTCCTACACAGACAAAGTGGGGGAGATGACGGATAGATCAGGGTTTATTAGGGATGCACAGCCAGCTACCATGGCGCCATGGCTTTCATGTAACAATGAATGTGTGACAGATTACCGCTCCCCCATCACCCTGATTCTCTCCAGGGCATGTTGGCAAGTCAATATCCTCAGAGGAGGGATATAATTGTCATTTGTCATTATCGTTGTCATAAAGATTGTCCACTGCCTTTCATGCTCATCTTCGGTTTCTGCCACCACCCCCTCGGCTGCTGCCCCGGGCGGTCTGGGATGTGTATAAAAGAGCTGAGGGCTCTGCAGCCTCTATCCACCTTCCTCTGCTGGACTCTCCTCATCACCTGGGTAAGTCCAGCTCTTGGAAGCCTCTTGGGCATCTATCACGGCCTCCCTGCATACAGCCCCTTCCCGGCAGCCTTGTCTCATCCCCGCTGTGTTTTCCAGGAGTGCTTCCCTGCCTGAAAGATGTCCTGCTCCAGCCTGTGCAACACGTCCTGTGGGGTGGCCGCCCCGGCCCCGCTGGCCGACACTTGCAATGAGCCCTGCGTGCGGCAGTGCCCCGACTCCACGGTGGTGATCCAGCCCCCGGCCTCGGTGGTCACCTTCCCCGGGCCCATCCTCAGCTCCTTCCCGCAGCACAGCACTGTTGGCTCAGCGGGAGTGCCCGCCGTTGGATCGGGTTTCGGCGGCAGTTTTGGAGGCCGTGGTGGCTATGGAGGCTGGGGAGGCCACAGAGGCTATGGGGGCTATGGAGGCTATGGGGGCTATGGTGGCTGGGGGGGCTACGGGGGCTGGGGAGGCTGTGGAATTGGTGGCTGGGGTGGAAACCACAGGTACCTCAATGGCAACTGCTCGCCCTGCTAAGCCCCACACTTGCTCCGGCCACAGACGACTGCAGTCTTGCCCAACATGACGCCCCAAGGAAGGACATCCCTGTGGCACTGCTGGGCTCCAGAGCTCGTGCCTGCTCGGGGCCACACTCTGCCTTCCTCCTGCCCCGCTTGAGCTTCCCTTCAGGACCCATTGCTGCCCCTGATGACGCAGCCCCGTGCTGGGTGCCTGCTCCTGCAGCACGGCTGATGCTCGCTCTTGCTCTCACTGCTGCCAGGACTTGGCTGCCCTTGTCCAGGGCCCTGCTCTTCTCCCAAATCCCCCCTCCCCTCAATCTTCAATAAAATCTCTGTTGCACTGCAATGTTGACCCATGCTGTTTCTTCATTCTTCATAGAATTGTGGAACAATTGAACCAGAGAATGTTTTGGTTTGGAAGGGACCATCTAGTTTCAACCCCTTCCTGACATGTGCAGGGCCACCTTCCACCAGCCCAGGTTGCTCAAAGTCCCATCCATCCTCACTTTGATCCCTTCCAGTGTGGGGCCAGCCACAGCTTCTCTGGACTACATGTACCAGGGCCACACCACCCTCACAGGGAAGAACTTCTACCTTAGATATAATCTAAACTTACCCTCTGTCAGTTTAAAATCATCACCCCTCATCCTATCCCTACAGCCCTGATAAAGAATCCGATATCAGCTGTACTGTAGCTCCTTTAAGTGCTGGGAGGCCACTACCGTATTTTACTGGAGCCTTGTCTTGTCCAGCTGAACACCCCCAGCTCTCTCAGCCTCTCCTCATGTGTGAGGTGCTCTGCCATGCTTATCTGTTTGTATTCTCTTAATCCAGTCAAGCAGGTCCATGTCCTTCTGATATTGGGGTCCCCAGAGTTCGTCACACCACTGCAGTTGGGACTCTCATAAGAGCTGGCTAGAGGGGAACAATGCCATCCCTCCAACTGCTGATCACACTTCTCTTGATGCATCCTAGGACACAAATTTCCGGCTTGCAAGCACACATTTCTGGCTCGCAGTCATTTTTTCACCCACTAATACGCTCAAGTCCTTCTGTGCAGGGCTTGTCTCAATCCACCCCTCACCCAGACTGCATTTGTGCTTGGGAAAGCCCCGACTCACGGCCAGAACCTTGTACTTGACCTTGTTGCACTTCATGAAGTCCCCACAGACCCAACTCTCCAGCCTGCCCCGGTCCCTCTGGATGGCACATCCCTTCTCTCCAGTGTGTTGGAGGCACCACACAGCTCGATGTCGTCAGTGGACTTGCTGAAGGTGCACTCAGTCCCCTCCTTCCATACCTCGAGTGGCAGCCATGGCTGCGTGGGCCATCCCAGCCATAGCAGACCCATGGTGTCCTGTGGGGTGTCTATGAGAGCTGCTCATCTTCCTCCCACCTGCCCTTGGAGACAAATCCCTCCAGCAGCCTTTTGCCTGCAGAGGGGTCTGTGTTCAACTCCTTCATCAAAAGCCTTTTCCTCTTTGTCCTCTATGTCTTCTTCCCGCTTTGGTGTCCTGCCCTCTGCAGCCCAAGAAGACCTTTTGGGCCCCATATGGAGTTTTCCGCCTGCTGTGGCCATTCCCCACAAGCTGCCTTTCCCCCCAGGGCTGCAGGGATTGAAGAGCACATGGATCCACTCACATGGCCAATGCCCAGGTCAGAGCCACGTGGGACGCCACAGTTGATAGGTGAGAGAGAGGGTGAGCAACCCCCAGCGCCTCCCCTAATTAGATGCTTCCATGCACTCCATCTTCCTGCACCCTGTAATATCTCTTTGTCCAGGCTTCAATGTTAAAATGTTCCTTGGAGTAAATATGGCCCCATCTTCCCCCCACTGCTTGAGCAGAACCTTTTCCTGACATTTCCTATGTCAACAAACCCACCGCCAGTGGACACAGATCTGCCCAGGAAGGAGAGGAGAGGTTCTCACTGGTCTGGACCAGACATTGCTGGCGCTTTGCTGCTCTTCCCCACTCTCCAGACCACGCAGTACCCCCACACTGCCACATCCCTTCAAAATCACCCATCCACAGCAGTCACTGTGGGGTCACCAAATCACCCTTCCACCACCATGACCGCAGCAGACACACAGGGGACACCACTTGAACCAGGACCTGGTGAACGGCCCAGAGTCTTTGCAGAGGGACGTGGCCACACATGGGGATGGGCAGAGAATGAAACCGCCTCGAGGGGAAGGGAAATCATGAAAATTCCTGCTACTAGTGTTGGAGATTCAAGCAGACCAGAACAACATGCCCTGAGCTTTTGGGGAAGTAGGGAAGAAGCAAGAAGGATGAAGAAAAGACATGAGTCAACATTGCGATGCAACACAGTTTTATTGAAGTTTCAGGGGAGGAGAGAGTTGGGAGAAGAGCAGGGCCCTGGCCAGGGCCTCTGTCTGTTTCCTTGCAGAGAGCAGAATGCGATGAGCATCAGCCATGCTGCAGGGGAAGGCACCTGGTGTGGGCCCTGATCGCCAGAAAGCAATGACTCCTGAAGGGATGCTTAAGCAGAGCAGGATATGGGGCAGAGTTGGGCCCCAGGCAGGCTTGAGACATCCAAGCTCTGGAGCCCAGCAATCCAAATAGATGTCCTTTCAGAGAGCATTTTGTTGGGATGTGCCGGACCCCTTTCTGGAGCCGTCTTCCATAGGTAACTGGACCTGGGTTGGGGCTTAGCAGGAACCGCAGTTGCCACGGAGGTACCCGCGACCTCGGCCCCAGCCGCCATATCCACAACCCCCAAAGCCTCCATAACCGCCCCAGCCTCCGTAGCCTCCATAGCCACCATAGCCTCCAGAGCCACCACGGCCTCCAAAACTGCCGCCGAAGCCCGATCCAACGGCGGGCACTCCCGCTGAGCCAACAGTGCTGTGCTGCGGGAAGGAGCTGAGGATGGGCCCGGGGAAGGTGACCACCACAGCCGGGGGCTGGATCACCACCGTGGAGTCAGGGCACTGCCGCACGCAGGGCTCATTGCAAGTGTCGGCCAGCGGGGCCGGGGTGGCCACCCCACAGGACGTGTTGCACAGGCTGGTGCAAGACATACTTCTCTTTGGTAGGTAACACTGAAAAACAAGGCAGAGCTACAGCTCAGTGTAAGGCCGAATCCCAAATCCCTCCTGGCTCTCTCACACTTCACACCTGTGTCCCAGGACAAGCTCTGGATCATCTCACACACTCAGAGGAAAAAACATATTCCTGAGCTGAAATGCTGGTTTGGACGCCTTGTCTCCCCTCATGCTCCCTGCTTCCCACTCGCCCACAGGAGTGAGGAAAAACTCCCTCAGCCAAAGCAGATGGAAAATTGCCAAGCTCCCAAAGGACTTCAGTCCATTGGCACACCCAGGGCATCGTAGCTACGAGTTTAGCTTTCCATCCTTTCCACAGCTCTCAAACAGCACCATCACACCCCACCACTGCACTATGAAAGCGCGGTGCAGCACAGAGTAAAAGTGAGAAACCACTGGTGAGGTAGGGAAGACTTGGACTTACCAAAACGATCAGGAGAGTCCAGCAGAGGAAGATGGATAGAGGCTGCAGAGCCCTCAGCTCTTTTATACACATCCCAGACCGCCCGGGGCAGCAGCCAAGGGGGCGGTTGCAAAAAACTCCAGGAAATTATGAACTGAAGCAGACCAGCTTCATGACACGGATAGTGATGTGGCACAATTACATGCCTCCTCACTGGGGATAGTGACATGCTAACGCACCCTGGATAAGAAAAAAGAGATGGGAGGGGAATGTTATTAAAGACAGAGCGCTGGTGTAGCTAAAGCTGCATCACCAATAAAACTTAATGTGTCCTTAATCCCTCATTTTGCTTACGTGGAAGAATCTTGGGCATCTTTCAGAAGATTGCCGTGCCCAACCACACCACACTCAGCAGCAGTCCAGCCTCGTGCCCAGAGCCAGCAGTGCCGAGCGTGCCGGTGCCTGTGGGCAGCGTGGCCACGTGCAGCCTGGCTCTCTGGGGTGCTCGGCCGGCATCTCCTGGCACAGCCCTCAGTGCCCAGCTGGGTAATCACGTCACCCTCGAGAGGGCTCGGGGAGGACCGTGCTCACAGACGTCAGGCTGAAGGAGCTGACAGTCACCTGGTTCTCTTGCTGCCCTTCTGCGCCTCCAGAGATGTTTCCCCTCTCAGAGGTCTCCTCTGCTCTATCCCACTGCCGTGCCCATCACGGCTCTACCAGCCCCCCGTGCGTTTGTGATTCTCCATGCACAGGACCTGTCTCCTCTACTCCTCGCATGGCCGCCAAGTGAAACCGGGACGGAAAAATCCCAATGAGCTCCAGAGATTTAGGAGTGGGCAACTGATAGAGATGTCTGTGGACACCAGTCCATCGGGGGTGCAGCTGTTGTGGGCACTGGGAGGTGCTGAGCATTGGGAAGTCACCGCGAGAGTGTGGAGTGGCTTCTCCCTTTGCGCAACCTCCCAGTGCCTCTGTTTACCAGCCTGTAAAAGAGAGGGAAGGACAGGCGTGATGCCTGCGCCCAGGGTTGCAAAGCACTTCTGTAAGATGCTCAGGATTCTTCTACTCAGCTAAAGCGGGGGGATTAGGGACAGATCCGGGTTTATTAGGCACGTGTGGTCAGCTCCAGCAGTGCCTGCTCTTTCATCTGACGGCGTGTCATGGACTGTCCCTCCCATCACCTCCTCCTTCTCCAGGGCACATTTGCACACCGATGTGCCCAGTCAAGAGGGGAAAAATTGTCTCTCATCACTCTCTGTGTCATGAAGCTTGACCAATGGATTGCATGATTAGGTGGGGATTCGGTGGCCGCCCCCTTGGCTGCTGCCCCGGGCGGTCTGGGATGTGTATAAAAGAGCTGAGGGCTCTGCAGCCTCTATCCATCTTCCTCTGCTGGACTCTCCTCATCACCTGGGTAAGTCCAGCTCTTGGAAGCCTCTTGGGCATCTATCACGGCCTCCCTGCATACAGCCCCTTCCCGGCAGCCTTGTCTCATCCCCGCTGTGTTTTCCAGGAGTGCTTCCCTGCCTGAAAGATGTCCTGCTCCAGCCTGTGCAACACGTCCTGTGGGGTGGCCGCCCCGGCCCCGCTGGCCGACACTTGCAATGAGCCCTGCGTGCGGCAGTGCCCCGACTCCACGGTGGTGATCCAGCCCCCGGCCTCGGTGGTCACCTTCCCCGGGCCCATCCTCAGCTCCTTCCCGCAGCACAGCGCTGTTGGCTCAGCGGGAGTGCCCGCCGTTGGATCGGGTTTCGGCGGCAGTTTTGGAGGCCGCGGTGGCTATGGAGGCTGGGGAGGCCACAGAGGCTATGGGGGCTATGGAGGCTATGGGGGCTATGGTGGCTGGGGGGGCTACGGGGGCTGTGGGGGCTGTGGAATTGGTGGCTGGGGTGGAAACCACAGGTACCTCAATGGCAACTGCTCGCCCTGCTAAGCCCCACACTTGCTCCGGCCACAGAAGACTGCAGTCTTGCCCAACATGACACCCGAAGTAAGGACATCCCTGTGGCACTGCTGGGCTCCAGAGCTCGTGCCTGCTCGGGGCCACACTCTGCCTTCCTTCTGCCCCGCTTGAGCTTCCCTTCAGGACCCATTGCTGCCCCTGATGACGCAGCCCCGTGCTGGGTGCCTGCTCCTGCAGCACGGCTGATGCTCGCTCTTGCTCTCACTGCTGCCAGGACTTGGCTGCCCTTGTCCAGGGCCCTGCTCTTCTCCCAAATCCCCCCTCCCCTCAATCTTCAATAAAATCTCTGTTGCACTGCAATGTTGACCCATGCTGTTTCTTCATCCTTCACAGAATCATAGAATCATTGAGTCAGAGAATGGTTTGGTTTGGAAGGGACTTTAAAACGATATATTTCCAACCCCCCCTGCCAGAGACAGGGCCTTCTCCCCCTATCCAGTGATGCCAAAGAAAGCCCCGTGCAACCCGGCCTTGAACCCTTCCAGGGTGGGGGCAGGCTCAGCTTCTCTGAGCAACCTGTGCCAGGCCTGACCACCCTCCTGGGGTGATGAATAATTTCTTCTTTGTATCTAATCTTATTTATCCTTTTAAGTTGAAAAACTTAAATCCTATCCTATCCCTACCCCCCCTATCAGTAGTCCCTCCCCCTTTCCTGCAGCCCCTTTCAGCCCTTGGGGGCTGCTCCAAAATCTCCCCAGAGCCTTTTCTTCTCCAGCTGAACCCCCTCAACTCTCTCAGTCTGTCCTCACAGGGGGGTGCTCCATCTCCCCGAGCATCTCCGTGACCTCTTCTGGACCCACTCGAGCAGGTCCGTGTCCTTCCGATACTGCAGTCCCCAGATTTCGACACACCACTGCAGTTGGGTCTCACAAGCGTCGGCTAGAAGGGTACAGCGTCTTCCCTCAAGCTGCTGACCACTCTTCTCTTGATGCATCCTAGGACACGGTTGGCTTTTAGTGTTGAAAATGCGTATTTCTGGCTCGCAGTCAGTTTTTCACCCACTAATACACTCAAGTCCTTCTGTGCAGGGCTTGTCTCAATCCACCCCTCACCCAGACTGCATTTGTGCTTGGGAAAGCCCCGACCCACGGCCAGGACCTTGTACTTGGCCTTGTTGCACTTCATGAAGTCCCCACAGACCCAACTCTCCAGCCTGCCCCGGTCCCTCTGGATGGCACATCCCTTCTCTCCAGTGTGTTGGAGGCACCACACAGCTCGATGTCGTCAGTGGACTTGCTGAAGGTGCACTCAGTCCCCTCCTTCCATACCTCGAGTGGCAGCCATGGCTGCGTGGGCCATCCCAGCCATAGCAGACCCATGGTGTCCTGTGGGGTGTCTATGAGAGCTGCTCATCTTCCTCCCACCTGCCCTTGGAGACAAATCCCTCCAGCAGCCTTTTGCCTGCAGAGGGGTCTGTGTTCAACTCCTTCATCAAAAGCCTTTTCCTCTTTGTCCTCTATGTCTTCTTCCCGCTTTGGTGTCCTGCCCTCTGCAGCCCAAGAAGACCTTTTGGGCCCCATATGGAGTTTTCCGCCTGCTGTGGCCATTCCCCACAAGCTGCCTTTCCCCCCAGGGCTGCAGGGATTGAAGAGCACATGGATCCACTCACATGGCCAATGCCCAGGTCAGAGCCACGTGGGACGCCACAGTTGATAGGTGAGAGAGAGGGTGAGCAACCCCCAGCGCCTCCCCTAATTAGATGCTTCCATGCACTCCATCTTCCTGCACCCTGTAATATCTCTTTGTCCAGGCTTCAATGTTAAAATGTTCCTTGGAGTAAATATGGCCCCATCTTCCCCCCACTGCTTGAGCAGAACCTTTTCCTGACATTTCCTATGTCAACAAACCCACCGCCAGTGGACACAGATCTGCCCAGGAAGGAGAGGAGAGGTTCTCACTGGTCTGGACCAGACATTGCTGGCGCTTTGCTGCTCTTCCCCACTCTCCAGACCACGCAGTACCCCCACACTGCCACATCCCTTCAAAATCACCCATCCACAGCAGTCACTGTGGGGTCACCAAATCACCCTTCCACCACCATGACCGCAGCAGACACACAGGGGACACCACTTGAACCAGGACCTGGTGAACGGCCCAGAGTCTTTGCAGAGGGACGTGGCCACACATGGGGATGGGCAGAGAATGAAACCGCCTCGAGGGGAAGGGAAATCATGAAAATTCCTGCTACTAGTGTTGGAGATTCAAGCAGACCAGAACAACATGCCCTGAGCTTTTGGGGAAGTAGGGAAGAAGCAAGAAGGATGAAGAAAAGACATGAGTCAACATTGCGATGCAACACAGTTTTATTGAAGTTTCAGGGGAGGAGAGAGTTGGGAGAAGAGCAGGGCCCTGGCCAGGGCCTCTGTCTGTTTCCTTGCAGAGAGCAGAATGCGATGAGCATCAGCCATGCTGCAGGGGAAGGCACCTGGTGTGGGCCCTGATCGCCAGAAAGCAATGACTCCTGAAGGGATGCTTAAGCAGAGCAGGATATGGGGCAGAGTTGGGCCCCAGGCAGGCTTGAGACATCCAAGCTCTGGAGCCCAGCAATCCAAATAGATGTCCTTTCAGAGAGCATTTTGTTGGGATGTGCCGGACCCCTTTCTGGAGCCGTCTTCCATAGGTAACTGGACCTGGGTTGGGGCTTAGCAGGAACCGCAGTTGCCACGGAGGTACCCGCGACCTCGGCCCCAGCCGCCATATCCACAACCCCCAAAGCCTCCATAACCGCCCCAGCCTCCGTAGCCTCCATAGCCACCATAGCCTCCAGAGCCACCACGGCCTCCAAAACTGCCGCCGAAGCCCGATCCAACGGCGGGCACTCCTGCTGAGCCAACAGTGCTGTGCTGCGGGAAGGAGCTGAGGATGGGCCCGGGGAAGGTGACCACCACAGCCGGGGGCTGGATCACCACCGTGGAGTCAGGGCACTGCCGCACGCAGGGCTCATTGCAAGTGTCGGCCAGCGGGGCCGGGGTGGCCACCCCACAGGACGTGTTGCACAGGCTGGTGCAAGACATACTTCTCTTTGGTAGGTAACACTGAAAAACAAGGCAGAGCTACAGCTCAGTGTAAGGCCGAATCCCAAATCCCTCCTGGCTCTCTCACACTTCACACCTGTGTCCCAGGACAAGCTCTGGATCATCTCACACACTCAGAGGAAAAAACATATTCCTGAGCTGAAATGCTGGTTTGGACGCCTTGTCTCCCCTCATGCTCCCTGCTTCCCACTCGCCCACAGGAGTGAGGAAAAACTCCCTCAGCCAAAGCAGATGGAAAATTGCCAAGCTCCCAAAGGACTTCAGTCCATTGGCACACCCAGGGCATCGTAGCTACGAGTTTAGCTTTCCATCCTTTCCACAGCTCTCAAACAGCACCATCACACCCCACCACTGCACTATGAAAGCGCGGTGCAGCACAGAGTAAAAGTGAGAAACCACTGGTGAGGTAGGGAAGACTTGGACTTACCAAAACGATCAGGAGAGTCCAGCAGAGGAAGATGGATAGAGGCTGCAGAGCCCTCAGCTCTTTTATACACATCC